TGGTTGTCGTGATTTGGTGATTTCCCCGATTATGAATTATGTGTTAAATGGGAAAGCTGAAATCTAGTTAACATGAGGAACTTGGGAATTAATCAATTTGTTTATTCAGAAAATTGTGCTATTCTTTTTCTTTTTCTTTTTTTTTATGTTGTTGTTCTTGGAATTAGGTTAGAGAAATAAAAGGGTGTATAATAGTTTGTTCTCAAGTGCCTAGTAATTGTCAAGTTGTAGATCAACTATATATTAATTAAAAATAAATAACGGGAAATGCTGTACAACATCTCATTTGATAAGTATCTTTAGTATTTAGATGATAATGTATGTAGGGGATCTAGATTTTAATAAGTGAAATTTGTCCAATGGTTGAAAAAAATGGATATATATACATATATTTATATTTTATTTGTTTTGCATTATTTTTCTCTTTTGTTTGAATTTGTTTTTGTTATTATAAATTAAAAATACCAAACATTAAAGTATGTAGTAACCATATTTATATGGAAGTTGTGGTCCATATGCTTAATCGACTCTCCGATCCTGATCAATTTCTATGTCGACTTTGGTGATTTATCTTGCCTCATTTGGATAGATGGCAACTCCATCCATTTTGGTATGTCAACACTAAGGAAAAGCAAAACCTAATTTGAGGTAGTTAAAATCCTTGATTTTTTATTATTGATGAATCCTTTATCTTAATCTCTAAGAATGCCCAAAAAAAAGCTGCCACTAGCTTCGAAAGCTCTCCAGTTCTAAATTTGGATGGATATTTGTAGGATTTTAGAAATGATAATTGGAATAAAAGTGAGAATCACACCCAAAATAATAAAAACCTATCGACACCCTAAAGAAGTGCTGACACCTTCACTATAGCACGTTGAAGATCCATGTTGGAATTTTGGCCTTCTAACAATTTCTATTAATGGTAAAATGACAGTTCTAGTCCCTAACTTCTGAACTTTGCACAACTTAATCTTCAACTTTTTGATCTTTGCAATTTGCTCCTAAGAATTATGATTTTTTCGAATTAAGTCCTTTTTTACATAAAGAATGAAAATTATATAAAATCAAGTAAAATATTATAAAACTCATCTAAAGATCAATAATACCAAGGTAAAAATTCTACATTAATAGATATAAATTCAGCTCATCAAATTCCTCCAAATTTAAGTTTTACTTGTCCTCAAATATAAAATAAACAAAAAAATAAAATAAAATAAAACCTTACTCACTTTCGTGAGAATCACGATTACACTTAGTTAGGAATCACGATTGCACTTAGCTAGGAATCACGATTGCATTTAGCATGTGCAACAAGTCTTGAAACCTCCTAGGTCACCCAATGGACAAATTGTGTCTTGTGAGAGTTTTTAGTGGATCTACCCACAAAATCCCAATGCAAGAATGCAACCATACGATATGCATGCAAAGAAAATTTAGGAATTAAAGTTTAATTAGATACAAAGTCTCAAATATTCAAGAGTTCTCATAGACTCACTTAAAGTCAAATACTCTATCTTACTCTTCACACATCAAAAGATTTAGCTCATGAGCACTTAGTATGTGTGTGAATATTTATTAATAAGAAGTCTTGAGTTTAGACCTTCACACCTTAGCACTTAATTTTTTTTTCTCTTTTTTTTTTTTTTTTAAATTCTTTATCAAGTTTCCTTAGGTTTTTTAAGTTACTAATGTAACGAGCTTTCTATCAATGACTTCTAAAGCAATTGGATTTAGGGCATTAGGTGAAGAAACACCCCTAAGAACATACTTACTCAAGTAACAAAAGCCATGAAACATTCAACTTCTCTCTCTCTCTCTTTTTTTTTTTTTTTTTTCAGCCATACAACACAATCTTCCTAAAGTTATCACTTATCTTTTGACATGAATATTAACATTTGTGATGAAAGCACTTGGTTACTCAACAAGTCCTAAACTCAAAGTGCTTTGCTTACTCATATTTCAAGTCACTGTTTGACGTGAAAGTTGATATGGGTCTCATGCCTAACCCCCAGTTACTAAACAACTAGAAACATTAAAATAGAAATTAACAAACTCTTTTGTGTGTTTGTTTCTTTTTCTTCTTTTTCTTCTTCTTTTTTATTTTATGTGCTTTTTGATGCTACTAAGTCTTCTCTCTAAACTTCTCACTACAAACTTGTGCTCAAATGAAATATAATACTCATGAACTTAAACTTCATCAAAATGATGTTATTTTTCAGATTTTGTATCTACTCTAAAATTTAAAGATTTTAAAAGTTTTTGAATTTTTAGCTCAAGAATATTTAATTCCCTGACACTAATTGGACCAATTCCTAAAAAAAATTACTCTAATTTCTAAAAAAAAAAAAGTATATGTCATGCTAATATGAATGCAACTAATGTAAGAAAGGACACCTAAAAGTTATTCTCTCCCCCCAAACTTAAATCAAGCATTGTTCTCAATGTAAAATAAAAGTAAAAGAAAAGAACAACTTCCCAAGTTTTGCACTTGAAGACTTAAAATTTAAGTTCTGAAGTTGAGTTGTCTTCAATTAGAGAAGACTTTTAGCATGTGAATTTTCATAATCTTGTCCACCAAACTTGTTCAATGACCTAACCAAAATCAAAGAACAACAATTTATGCATTAATCTGGGTCATGAAGAGAAAAAAATAATAAAAAAATCTAAACTATTAAAATAAAAGACAAAGAAAAAAAAGAAAGAAAAATTTATACTTGGGTTGCCTCCCAAGAAGTGCTTAATTTATAGTCATTAGCTAGACTTTCTACCACTCCAAGGTGGTTTTGGAGTAGGTCGTAGGGCATGTCCTCTTGTTTTCTTAGATCTTGGCTTTCTTGCTCATAAGTTCAATCCACCATAAGATTTTCTCCGATGACTATTCTATGGTGGTTTGGGTTTAGGCCAAGAGATGTGCCATCCCAACTCTTCTAGGATTACCCTCTTTGATTCCAAGTAAGATGAGGAAGTTTTCAAGCAATTTATGTATTCTTTGATTGAGTCATTTGCTTGAATAAGATAACTCTCAAATGGATCTTCAGAAGTGTTTTCTTGTAAATTTTCATCAACCATATCAATAACAAAAT